TTTTTTTTAAATTGAATTAATTTTTCTTTTGTACCCATTTTTATTAATCGTCAATTTATCTCATTCATTCGTTTTTAAAAATTTAGATCATTTTAAATTTCTATTCAAAAATAACAATTGTTCGATGTGCGCTGTATTAACCATTTGGTAAATATAAAAAAAAATTATTTTCATTAAATTTTTCCGAACTCCGAGCACCGACCACGACCGACCACCGATCCGATCCGATCCGAGATATTCGGAGATCGGTCGGCCTCGGATTGAATATCCTCGGCGTCGGATCGGCGTCGGAATCGAAAAATGGCCGCCGTTTATATCATTTGAACCGACATAATTCCCATGCTTTTATTTTTCACGAATAGTCGTTGTTTCGGAAAATAAATGAATAGCCTCAACTTTATGCGAAAAGTTTACGGTTTCCTTCAAAATGCCAAAGTCTTACTACTTTTTGATCACAATAGTATATAAAAATTCACTTTCTTTTGCAATTTCGATTAATTGGTGATTATTTCGAATTATTTCTGTTCATTTATTTTGTGATTTACCTCCAGGTAAAGAACACCAAAAACCATTGTTTGGCGTACGTTCGGTATATAAACAATATAAATTTACAAAACTTAAAAAAAGCATCACTCTTTGTTGACATTATCAATCGGAGCTTAGACACTGAAGCTTCGAAGCTATTGGCAAATCTTCGAGATGAACGCCTCCCAAATAAAATTGAAACGACTAATATTCAAAAGTATGTAATCAGTAAATTGGAATTTCTAATTTAAATTTTTTACACATTTTTTTTATTTCATAGGTATACGGTCGAGGTAAACAAATATAAAATAAAATTTGATTGTATTGTATTGATGTAAATCATATAATTTTTTAAAATTACAGTGGATCGGGCGTGAGGGTGAGTCTCTCTCTGCAAACAATCAATCTCAGTAGTGCTGGTCAGAGTATGAGGGAACGCGCAGAGTAGTCTCAAGCGCAGAATCACAGAAAAGTTTTGTTTTCTTGTCAGGAGCCGCTCCTGAGTTCGTATTCGTAGCTCACACTAACACACAGTAGTTAGTAATTGCACTCACGCATATGTAGTTGGGAGTGCCTCCTGGTAACGCTTTTTGTTTCAATTTCATTCTCTGATATTGAAATGCGTGCTATATAAATGCTCTTTTTAGCTCTAATAGAATCTATATAGTGTCACGCTGAATAACTTTTTTAAATGCACTGTTATTTTATTGGGATTGTTTATATCAAACTATTAAAATCTAAACAATAACAAAAATTATAAGTATTGATTTGACGAGTGTGAGAAAAAAAAATATATTACGTCTTTCTTTCACTTCGTATTGAAAGCAAACAACAAAAACTATAATGCTACGCCCAAACGGAAAATACATGAAACTCAACTATACACACGCAGCACATCTGTGAGGGTAGTACTTAATGTGGTAGTAACTGTGGTATTTAACTCTGTTTGCTCAGGTTTTTTAAACTCCAAGAGCGTTTGTTTCGGCAATACTCTGGAGTACATTGTAGCAGGTCACGATTAGGCCATTCCCCTGGAGTAAAGATCTGGAGTTCTTTTATAGCTCCAAGACTATCAGTGAATATGATCACATTTCCCTCCCCGATGCCTTCAAGAATATTACATGCATAGTGATAAATCGCCAATATTTCCGTCGATTCATAACTATGGGTTGCGGGCGTTGAGCTAAACGACAAATGCCACGGTGTAGGCCTAGGCCAGACCATCTAAACCACATATCCCGTTCTCGCCAATGGGAGTAATTTTTTTCGCTACAGCCTTTGGTAGTTTCATACTAGGAGGCATTTGGATGAATTTTAAAAACAACTTGCCGATTATTTCTTTCAACTGAAAATTCGCTACGAGAAAGCCGAATCTGGCCTTTGTTTTGCGATACAATCACGTGAAAATACACTTTTCCTACAAAAATTTACTTTTTTTGACAAAAATCCACCATTGTGTACTAATAATGTCACATCTATTCAAAGTTTATAGATTTTTTGTGGCTAGAAACATTTTTAGAGTAATAATAATGCAATTACATCTTATATCTTTAGTCATTTGAACGTTCCGTATAGTTTGAATATCGAGAATTTCATTGAAATCAAGAGTAAATAAACGAATGATCAAAAAGTCACACAAAATGATTTACATTCAAAGGAAAATCAACTTTTTAAACTGTTCTAACTACTCAATTTGATTCATTTCCATCCAATAAGCAATTCTAATGTCACTTGAAAATAATCTGAATCGATTTTTATACAGCCATAGTGACTGATTTGCATGTATGTTTTTAACTCGCAATATCTCGAATGCACACTTTTTAAGTTCATTTTCATAGTTTGTGAATGTATATTGGAGGGTTTTTTGACACGATTAACTTGAAGCTGACATTTATTTTGTGATAGAATGAATTTCGGACACGATTGGATTGGTCGAACTAACATTGGCGTAGTCCGACAGGTCCACGAGATTTTCGGATCAAAATATGCATTATTTAATCAGGTTTAATCGGTGTCATTTGTTCTTATTGTTTTATTTTTGACTGTTCTTAGGCTAATTTTGTCCGCTGATTTTGAATATAATCAAAGATTTGTAATTTGATATCATTCGATCGAACAAAATTCCATTTTTTGACGAACATTTCCAAAAAATGGCTGAAAATTGATTTTTTGTATGAAAAATTTATTTGTTTCACTTCCGATTTTGCTCAAACTTTACCCATATTACTTTTTCGACAAAAAATAATCTGTACGCAATTCCAAGCCATTCCAAAAACAAATAATCATACCTCCCATACCGAAATAGATTTTTACTTAAATCTCTACTGTATTAAATTCTTGATTTCTCTTGAAGGTCTGGATCAGGAGACGCACGAAGAATATTTGAACAACTTTATTGCTCACTTTTATAAGAATATAATAAAACTGGTCGACCGTGCGATGCGCAAAGAAGATTCAAGTGCTCAAGGACAAATTGTCACTGAAATTCTACAACATTTGCATGCATGCAACAATTCGGTTAAAGTTTTTTATGGACGAGAAGAACCATTGAAACGCATTAAGTACTATATGTTGAATTATTCGGAAAAGCCATTAGTTCTTTATGGGGAAGTATGTAACAATTTGAAATTAAACTTGGAAATACATTTCAAATTGAATTCTTTTCATTTTAGGGAGGATGTGGTAAAACTTCTTTGTTGGCAAAAAGTGCCAGTTTAGCATTGACAGATTGGTTCAAAGATTCTAAACCTATCAACGTAATAAGATTCCTAGGAACCACACCGGATTCATCGGGTGAGAGTTTAACATGATTATTCTTACGTTTGGTTCTGTTTTGATAAGAGATACGAGGGTTGCTCCATAATTTTTTTTAAAAACATATATAACAC